TAGCTTTCCTGACTGTGTTTCTGCTAGCGATATGCTGCGATAAATTCAAGAAAGTTCGCGAGAGGCTTCTGCGCAAGAGCAAGTGGGGCTTTGTGCCCAGTGCTTGCCTTTCGAAGACCTGGAACCTGCCCCAAGCAGATGACCCGGTAGCAGATGCTGATCGCCGCTCACCTCCAGCAGATGACGTTGCACGTGCCACAGGTGGTCCTGAGCCAACTGCTGACCGCCATGGCAACCAAGCATCCCTCAGCTGGCATCACTACTGGCTCTCAGGTGGAAAGAAGGCAGAGCTGGCGAAGTCAGAGAACCATGACAAGAATGTGGTCTTGGTCAAGGTCAGTGAGAGTGACAGTGGAAACTGAGCCCCGCTGGGCGATTAGACCACGTTCCTCACCCCTACAGGTTCCTCGACTTGCCACCTGGGTGGCAGCCATTCCAATGAGTTTGACGACCACGAAGCTAACGGGCAGGTACTTCTGGCCACTGTTTCCCCATGAGCTGCAAAACTCACAGGAGATGAAGCCCCTGGCTGCCCTGCCCCCTGGGTTTCAGGTCCACTTCTGTGCCTTGTCTAATGTACAGCCTCCCTCCTGGCTCCCCTGGTGACCGTGTTCCTGCTTTGTGTCTGTCTCTGGGGTTATCCTGGGGGAGGGCATGGACAGGGATGAGCTCCTTCAGCCCGAGCTTCAGCCAAAGGCGTTTGTTATTGTCAGTGAACCCAGAAGCCAAACTTGACAATAAATGCCTATTTGTGCTCTTTGATGCGAACTTTGGTGTCTTTGCTTGGGGTGAAACATCGGAAGGACATAGTAGAGGGCAGAGTTGGGTGAACCAATGACTGAGAGGACAGTGTCCGAGGATGCTTCTCAGGGTGACGGGATCTTCCCTGGGATCCTGCTCCTCTTGAATTGAAGATTGTGTTGGCAAAAATGACAGTCAAGGGGAGCAGATGAATCTCATCTTGTATCAAATCCTGAAATCTCTCCTTTACCTGCATTGTCCAAGCTGAATGGCAGCAGGGCTGCAGAGTTGGGTCAAGGGGTGAGACTGTTGACTTGCACACAGTTAACCCATGTTCGGTCCTCTGCACTCCATCTGCTCCCCTGAGCCTGTGTGGAATAATTTCTGAGCACAGAATAAGCCCTAAGCACAGTTGGCATTGGTTAAAAAGCAGAAATTCACTGAATGTCAAGAGAGGTCGATTTTTTTGAGGTGGAGGATTAGAAAGAGTAGAGATCCCAGGGATATTCAGCCCTGCTCTGTGGCATGATGATTTAGTGCCAGGCCTGACATGTGTGTTTGTGGCCCTTGTACCATGCCTGGTGATGCCGGAGTCTGCAGGCTTCACCCTGCATGTCAGGCAAAAAGCCCTGCGTGGCCAGGTCAGGGTCCTTGCCCCGCCCCGCACACAGCCCAGCACATCACCCAGTGTATGAGCTGGATTAGGGCTGCTGTCCTCAGAGAACATGGATGGACACTGGGCAGCAGAGGTCACTCCTCTGAGTCGTTGCCAATTGACACGGGCCAGAGACCCAACCTACCCCAAGGACATGTGTCTGGGCCCTGAACAGAGACAGGCTCCCCTCCCCCTCCCGGGGTAGCTGGAGAAACTGGACAGGGGACTGAGTCACCCCAGGCTGATCCCAGACAACACAGGGAGAGCCTAACAGCGTGCAGGCATCCAGGGTTAGTCACCCTCTTAGTGTCAAGCAGAGTTGGGGTTGCCAGTGCTGCTCAGGGCTCCCCCAGCTGTGCTCTGGAGCCCGAGGGCCACCCTCAGTGAGGATCTGCCTGGACTCAAGAGATGGTTTGTTTCTCTACACAGGGAGGCGGAGCCTGGTTAGGCCCCTTGGTGGGGCTCGGGGTGGCTCTGTGGCCCCTCTTCTTGCTCCTGCAGGCCCCGATCCAACCCAGCCCCAGCAGGAAACAGACTGTTTTCCTTTACACGAGCTCATTCTGTTAAAGTTCCTGGGAAATATATACTGAGAGTGTGAATCAATGAACTGTGAACTGTTTCCAGCATTTGCTACCATCTGCGTGTCCTGTGATTCAGCATTATCTATGACACGGTTTCCCCAAAATACCATTTCTTTTTTTTTTCCCTTTATTTTATTTTATTTTATTTTTTTACAGTTGTAGATTTACAATTTTTTGTGCTTTGGTTTCAATTATACAATGATCAGATACCCATCCCTCCACCAGTGCCCATTCTCCACCACCATGGATAATATCCCTCCCACCCCCATCCCCCCATCCCCCCTGTCTCTGTGGCAGGGCACTCCCCTGTGTTCTCTCTCTCCTTTTGGGTGTTGTGGTCTGCAAAAGAGGCATTGAGTGGCAAACATGTTCAGTCCATAGTCTACTTTCGACATGCATCTCCCCTCCTGGGAGGATCCTCCAAACATCCTTTATTTAGTGCTCCCTTCTCTATCTGAAATGCCCTTTCCTCTAGGATACCCGCTGGCCTCTAAGTTATGGAGTAATCGTCCTGGTGCTGATCTCAGCTATTCTTGGGTATTAATCTCATACTTTGTTACTTTATATCCCCCAGATGAATGCAATCTTTCTATGTCTATCCCTCTCTTTCTGACTCATTTTGCTTAGCATGATACTTTCCATATTGTACCACTTGTATGTAAATTTCATGACTTCATCTTTTCTAACAGCTACATAGTACTCCATTGTGTAGATGTACCAAAGTTTCTTTAACCAGTCATCTGTTCTTGGGCATTCAGGTTTCTTCCAGTTTCTGGCCATTGTAAAGAGTGCTGCAATGAACAAACAAGTGCAGATGTCACTTCGACTATACATTTTTGCCTCTCTGGGATATATTCCCAGGAGTGGTATTGCTGGGTCAAATGGGAGCTCAATTTCTAATTTTTTGAGAATCGTCCATACTGTTTTCCAGAAGGGCTGAACCAGTGGACATTCCCACCAACAGTGAAGGAGTGTCCCTTTCTCGCCACATCCACGCCAGCATCGGTTGCTTTTGTTCTTTTGAATGTGGGCCAGTCTCTGAGGTGTGAGATGGTATCTCATTGTGGTTTTGATCTGCATCTCCCTGATGATTAATGATGGGGCAATGAAATGAACAGAAACTTTCTCAAAGAAGAAATCCGAATGGCAAAAAAGCACATGACAAAATACCATTTCTTCTTAAAGGCTGCTGTGTATTTCTAGCGGCTTTAAATTTAAAAATAAATTAGGCCAAAACAAAGACAATTTACAAATATGACTAGACATCCTCCACCCAGATCCTCCATTTTCCAGTAGGCAGGGGTCACACCCACCAACTCACCCCCTGGCGCCACGCAATCCCATCAATGGCCAAGACCCAGAGACTACAAAACCCAGCTCCTAGAAGCGACATCTTATTATCTCATTCTTACTTTTGGACAACCTGGCAGGCTACCGAATGTAGCCTGCCCACATGGCAGAGACTGGCAAACTCCCCGTGGCATACCCAATATGCCAAATACCAGTAACAAGGATGGGTCTCATTCTCCTAGCCCTGAAAGAGCCTTGAGTATGGCACTTCAAAATCTCAGGGCTAAGATGAAGGAGACGTTACTGGTGCCTGCTCGAGGCAATTGATGAACAACAGGATGATCGTGATTGCGATCGTGACTAGATAGGATTCTTCTGTCTTGTGGTGGTCCTTGGGGGCTGTGTGTCACGTATCAAGGCTTACCACTCTTTCCATTTGTTCAGTTTAGGGTCTTGCATGTCGGGGCAAGATGTGGGTCTCAACAATGATTATGTTGTCCGGAGCCATATGCATCTTCTTCTGATGGTTCCTTTTCTCAGGGAAAATGGGAGCAGGAACTGTGCTGGAGGTGAGCACTTTGGGAGGAGTGGATGCAGCCCAGAGAGGTAATAAAGATGGACAAAGGCCATAAGGGGAGGCTCTTGGGACATGATTAACACTCTTGGCTTTTTCAGATGGCACCCAGCGAGTGGTGCTTTGGGCTTATTTCTGGCTCTGTGCTCAGGGATTAGTCCTCGCTGGCTTGGGGAACCATATACGGACACGGGGATGGAATCTGGGTCAGCCACGAGCAAGGTAAGTGCTCTCTGCACTGCACTATGGCTAGAGCCTACATGAGGACAACGGGTTTAGAATCCTTATAGGAAAACATGCATAAAGGTTCACCCTGCACCCCAGTCCCACCCCAGCCCTGTACCAAGTGAGGATGCAGCAAGACCACCAGCCTGCCAACCAGCAAGAGAGTCTGCAGCGGAGAACAAATTGGCCAGTGCCTGAATTTGGTATTTGTCTTCTTGGTTTTATTTCTGTTTGGTTTGCTTGCTTTTGGGGCCAGGCTACAACAATCATTGACTGTCTGGGACACAGAGCAAGTCTAGGGTCACCAACAACCCCCGACAATGCCCCCAAACAGAAGAAAGCCATTCATACGCTTGTTTCATTGGATATGATGACCCAGGCACCAGACAAAGTTAAATGTTCTTCAGATTTCTTTCTGAAATGAAAATTTTCTTTTTGCCCATCAATTTTAATGTGTGTGTGTGTGTGTGTGTGTGTGTGTGTGATTCTGGTTGCTGGCTAGTGGTGCTTGTATGTGCTGTTGGCTCTGCTCAGGGAATCACTCCTGGTGGAGCACAGATGAAGAAGCAGAGATTGAACCCCTCTGACTGCCTGCAAGGCAAGCACCGACCCCCTGTATGTTCTCTCTGGCCAAGTGACAAAATTCCAAATTGACAAAATTATTGCAATCCAAAAAGCAACAGGACCCCCATGAAAGAGTCAACCTCTCCCAGAACACAAATCCATGGGCAGCACCCCTCCTCCTGATATTCACACCCCACCCTGTGTCCATGCTAGAAATTCCTGACCAGACCATCACACACAAGGACACGCTCTGGAGAATTTCCTTTCCATTCATTGAGGCCAAAAGCTCAAGCCTTTTATTGTGAAATTTGGGTTTTATTGTGAAATTTGAGTTCAATTTTCATGACTAAGAAAAAGCAAAAAAACCATTCTAATCACAAAACACAAACAAAAGCATAATATCCAGGGAGCCGGGGATGGAGTCTGCATTAGAACGTGAACCATAAACCAGGACTCCAGGGTGGTCCAGGGGCTTCTTCTCCTGTGCGTGTTTCCGGTCATCGGGAAACGCATGGTAGTCAAACTCATCAGAACAGCTGCAATCCAGAGGCTTCTGGAGGGACAAGAAGGTGAGGGCTCATTCCTGCAGGACAGGAGTTTCCGCCGCAAATCTCATGGAGCTCGACCTTATTCCTATCAGGGTTCCGGGAATCCTCCGCCTTCTTCCCGCCAAAGAGCCAGTAGCCGGAGCCGGCACCCGCCACCACCGCCAGGCCCAGGTAGGCGTTGTAGGTCATGGCGGTCAGCATCAGCAGGTAGCTCAGGCCCACCTGGAACATGTGCAGCGCCGTCTGCAGTAGGTGAGCGGTGCTCAGCAGCTGCGGCCGGGGCGTCTCCTTGGGGCAAGCTTCGTCGGGTCTGGGGAAAGGCGAGCACTGGGCATGGAGTCTCTTGCGGGCTCTCTTGAGTCCCTCGTAGCCCAGGGCCAGCAGAAACACGGCCACGACAGCCACAGCCATGGCCGCAGCCGAGTCGATCAGCAGTCCCGAGAACAGCAGCTCCACGTTCCTGTAGCCGAAGTAGAAGGTCATAGGCATCATGTGTGCACTGCCACCATGGGAGTGGGGCCCCGTGGTGGCTGGAGGCTGGGTTGGAGGAGCGGGGGCGCTGGGGTGGCCCATGATGCTCATCCCGGAGTGATGGTGCGAGTGGTCCATGGTCCCAAGAATGGATGTTTCGTAGAAGATTCTGGAAGTCTGATGGAGTCCTGCACTGCAGCCTCTTCTCAGGGTCTCTGGCAGATAACACGTAAGGCTTGGAGGAGTCCTGCCTCTTTAGTACAGGAGACCCTCCCTGACCTTCTCCAATCCTCCCTGACCCTCCCCAACCCTCCGTGACCCTCCCTGAACCTCCCTGACTCTCCCGGCCCTCCCTGATCTCCCTGACCCTTCCTAAACAGCTCCTTTGAAACACTAGCTGGCGTTCCTCTCTCTGAGCCAATCTCAAATTTTAAAGCCTCAATAGAAAGTAACTGACAAATAGAAGACAGAAAAAAAAAAGATACATCAGCAAGGGCTCTATTTCGCAGAGATGGAGCAGCTATCCATCCCAGGAACACTTGTTACTTGGTTCTGAGACCAGTCACCCAGCCCGGCTAGCTCCCTCCCTCCCTTGGGTATGTTGCAGAGCCCCAGCATGCTTGTCTGAATAAAACCCTGCTTGAATTCCTGCAGGAATGTTGTCTGTCTGGTCTCTCCGTGCCTCCCAGGGCTAGGGAACTCCCGTCCCCAACACAACAGGTCTCAAAAAACGTAGATGTTACTGGGCCTGCTTGAGCAAATTGATGAACAACGGGAGGGCAGTGCTATAATGCTACATGTCGGCCCCCGCACACTGCCACGGTCACTCCTGAGCACAGAGCTAGAAGTGGGTTCTGAGTAGACTATGGGATGGGCCTAAAACACCACTCACAGCCCACCAAAATACATGACTGATGTAAGTGCACATGGTTGGAACTTGTGAAGCATATACAGCAGTGTCTTTCGAGCTGGAGAGACAGTACAGTGTGGAGGGCACTTGCTTGCACACAGTGGATCCAGAGTCTGTCACAACGCACCATCCTCTTTGAGTGGCACAACAGTGAACAGAGCATTTACCTTGCATGTGCTGACCCAATTTCCACCAGGGCACCAGGGCACCCTATATTGTCTCCTGAGCTTATCAGGAGCAATCCCTTGTTACAGAGCAAGAAGCCCAAAGAATCACCAGGTGTTATCCAAAAAACAAACAAACAAAACAAAACAAAACAGCAGAGTTAATCCTGTCCCACCAGAACTCCACCTGGTGATCTTCCTTCATCTTTATTTCCACTCTAAATGTGCCCACCTCCTTCCACAGTGCTCACCACCAACGCAATTCTTCTCCCCATTTCCCTGAGGAAATGAACCATCAGTAGAGGAAGTGAACACCCACCCGGGACACCCACCCTCTGTCTGGCCTGAGACCCACATCTTCACTGTGTCTCAGCAAGCAGTCCTCACCCCGGGAAGCAGGTTTCGAGCCCCTAAGCTGAAGGAGTGGAAACAGGGGTGAACCCTAAAACGTGACACACAGCCCCCATAACCACAGCTTAAAAGCATCCTGTCTAAATAATATTTGTGACTCTTTTCGGTTTATGCCTAGCTTATTTTTAAATTTAAAGTAGCTTAGGGTCCTTTCTCTATCTCAGCTGCCTTTTCCCCCCAGCATGTGAGACCAGATTCCAAGCCATGGAGCAATCCTCCTGAGACCACCAAGTAATTGATGCTTGGAGGGCTCGTTCAGGATGAGAGATGTGTGCTGAAAGTAGACTCAGGATCGAACATGATGGCCAGTTTAGTACACATACTGCGAATCATAACACCCAAAAGGAGAGAGAGAGAGAGAAAGAGGGAATGTGCCAGCCACAGAGGCAGGTGGGGATGGGAGTGGAGGTGGTAGGAGGGATACTGGGAACATTGGTGGTGGAGAATGGGCACTGGTGAATGGATGGTACACGATCATTGTATGACTGAAATGTAATCACGAAAGTTTGTAAATCTGTAACTGTATCTCACAGTGATTTATTTAATAATATTTTTAAAAAATAAATGAATATAAAAAACAGTAAAGTAGTTTAGGAGACTGAGTGATAGTACAGCAGGTAGGGTGCTTGACTTGTACACAGCCAGCATGTTCAATCCCAGCATCCCATATGATCCCGCAGTCCTGCCAGGAGTGATCCCTGAATGCTGGGCCAGCAGTAGCCCTTGGTACAGTTGGGTGTGGCCCCAAACCAAAAACAAACAAACAAACAAAATGAAGTAGCTTAGAAATCACTTGATCACTTGATCATATAACATCCCTTTACTCATTGATTTGCTTAAGCAGGTGCCAGTAACATCTCCACTCGTCCCTGTCATGTGCTAATGTAGCCGGGTGGCGACGGCTTGCTCCAGGAACATGAAGAGCCTCAAACTGATTGTTCAGGGCCTTGATGAAGAAGTCTGACCATCTTGTAGGTGGCAGCCACGTGATCTTTTGACGTCCTGTGGAATTCAGTCGGCAACGGCTCTACTTCAGAGGTCGTCTCCAAATCACATTATGTGTCTAGCCCATCTAATTTTCGACGCCTTGGCAAATGAGACAGCTTCCCTGATTCTTGATTGTCAATGGTCAGAACTCCAAATTCTTTCTCTCACTTGAGTGAAGTGTGATACTTCAGGCATAGTTCTTTCGATTCCTCTTTGGGAGACCCAAATAGCATTCTCATTCTGTTTTCATAGGGCCCAGGTCTCTAAAGCGTATGTTAATGCAGGAAGAACAGTGGAATCAAAGAGATGTGCCTGGAGCTGGAGGCTCTTCATACTCTTAGCTATTTCTTCGACACTCTTGAAGGCGTTCCAAGCCACTCTCTTCCTCCTGCGCAACTCAGGTGCCAGGTCATCCGTCATGTTGACTTCTCAACCTAGGTATACATAACTGTTACATTTAGAGATGTTTGTTCTGTTATGAGTGAATGGAACATTAAAGATGAGAACGTTTCTCATAAACATTGTCTTTGTGAGATTCAGCTGTAGTCTGATCTTTCCACACTCATGGTCAAAGTCGGCCAGCATTTCTGTCACTTGGCTAATGTTTGGTGTTATTAGAAAGATGTTATCAGTGAAGCAGAGTTGTGTAGTTGCCAACCATCTATCTTCACTCCCATTCCTTCCCATTCCAGTCATCGCATGATGTTCTGGAGGGTGACACTGAAGAGTTTCAGTGAAATGGTATCACCCTGCCGAACCCCCTCTCTTGATATGGATGATTGTTTCCTTGTAGAGTGGTGAGGTCCTGGTAGTGAATCCATAATACAGCTCACGGAGGATCTTGATGTATTGAGTTTGAACGCCCTGTTTGGCTATGGCTTCGATGACTGCTTCAGTATCAACAGAATCAAAGGCCTTCTTTAAGTCAATGAACATTAGATAGAACAGCATCTTGAACTCCCGAGAAACCTCAATGAGCTTGGTTATCATGTGGATATGGTCGATGGTGCTGAATCCTTTTTGGAAGCCGGCTTGCTTACATGGTTGTCCTTCATCTGGTGTTCTGCTAATCCTATTCAGGATGACTCAAGTGAACAGCTTGTAGAGGACAGACAAAAGGCAGATAGGGCGATAGTTGCCAATGTTGTGGATGTCTCCTTTCTTGTAGAGTAGTACAGTCCTGCTGATTTTCCATTGGGATGGAACCTTGCATTCAGACAGGTAACATGTGAAGAGCCGAACCAATGTATTGATGAAAACTGATGGCAGGTTCTTCAGAGTTTAGAAACACATATTTTTAAGAAGAAACTGTCATAGGTATTGCTCAATACAAGATGATCATGATCACGATCATCCTGTTGTCCATAGATTGCCTCGAGCAGGCCCCAGTAACGTCTCCTTCGTCCTAGCCCTGAGATTTTAAATAGTGTCATATTCAAGGCTCGTTCAGGGTTAGGAGAATGAGACCCATGATTGTTACTGGTATTTGGCATATTGGGTACGCCACGGGGAGTTTGCCAGACTCTGCTGTGTGGGCAGGAAACATTCGGTAGCGTGCCAAGTTGTCCAAAGCAAGAATGAGATAATAAGATGTCCAGGAGCTGGGTTTTATAGTCTCTGGGTCTTGGCCTTTGATGGGATTACACGGCGCCAGGGAACCAGTTGGTGGGTGTGACCCTGCCTACTGGTAGATGGAGGATCTGGGTGGAGGATGCTCAGCCCTGATCCGAGCAGTTTGGAGATCTCAGCCCCGGGACCCGCATGCCTTTGTTCCTCTGCCAGTACCATCATGGAATACAATACAAGACACAAAGTGATTATAGCAGCGCCAGAAGGGTGCAGGAAGTGGGGTGACATGCTGGGCTGTGGGCAGGGCAGAGCAGGATGAAGCTCCAGCACCACCAGGCATGGCACAAGGGCCACCAACACACAGGTCGGGCCTGGCACTAAACCATCATACCACAGAGCAGGGCTGAGTATCCCGGGACTCCTCTCTTTCTATACCTCTCCCTCAAAAAAATCTACCTCTCTTGACATTCAGTGATTTTCTGCTTTGTAGCCAATGCCAGCTGTGCTCAGGGCTTACTCTGTGCTCAGAAATCATTCCACACAGGCTCAGGGGAGCAGATAGAATGCAGATGACCGATAGCAGGTCAACTGTGTGCAAGGAAATGGCCTTACCCCCTGACCCATCTCTACAGCCCTGCTGCCATTCAGCTGTGACCATGAAGTTAAAGGAGAGAGTTCAAGGTTTGATACAAGATGAGATTGATCTGCTCCCCTTGTCTGTCAACGTCGCTGACACAATCTTAATGCAAGGAGGAGCAGGATCCCAGGGAAGATCCCGTCACCCTGAGAAGCATCCTCAGACACGCTCCTCTCAGTCGTTGATTCACCCAATTCTGCCCTCTACTATGTCCTTCTGATGTATCACCCCAAACAAAGACACCAAAGAGCACAAAGAGGCATTTATTGTCAAGTTTGGCTGTTGGGTTCACTGAGAATAACAAACACCTTTGGCCTAAGCTCAGGCTGAAGGAGCTCATCCCTGTCCATGCCCTCCCCCAGGATAACCCCAGAGACAGACACAAAGCAGGAACACGATCACCAGGGGAGCCAGGAGGGAGGCTGTACATTAGACAGGGCACGGAAGTGCACCTGAAACCCAGGGGGCAGGTGACCAGGGGCTTCATCTCCTGTGAGTGTTGCAGCTCATCGCCAGGTGTAGCTTTCCGTTAGCTCCGTGGTCATCAAACTCATTAGAATGGCTGCCACACAGGTGGCAAGTCGAGAAACCTGTAGGGGCGAGAAACGTGATCTTGTCTGCCCAGTGGGGCTCAGTTTCCACTGTCACTCTCACTGAACTTGACCACGACTACGTTCATGTCATGGTTCTCTGACTGTGCTAGCTCTGCCTTCTTTCCACCAGAGAGCCAGTAGCGATGCCAGCTGAGAGATGCTTGGTTGCCATGGCAGTCATCATCACCAGGTGGCTCAGGACCACCTGGGGCACGTGCAGCATCCTCTGAAGAAGTGAGCGGCACTCAGCAGCTGCTGCCAGGGCATCTCCCAGGGGCAGGTTCTGTCTGGTCTACGAAAGGCATGCACTGGGCACGGAGTCCCTCCTAAACTTGCACAGAAACCCCTCGCGAGCTCTCTTGAGTCCTCTGTAGCACATCGCTACCAAAAACACAGCCACAAAAGCTGCAGCCATGGCTACAATGAAGTAAATGGTCAACTTAGCAAACAGCAGCTCCTTGTTCTTGTAGGCATAGTAGAAGGTCAAGGGCACTATCGTCATCTTGTTGCCACGGAAGTGGGGCCACTAGCGTAGCCGGGAGCTGCTGAGGAGGTCCCAGGGAGCTGGTGTGGCTCATGGGGCTCTTTCCTGCATGATTGGGCAAATAGGACATTGTCGCAGGATAAGATGCGTTGTAGAAGAGTCTGGAAGGATGATGAAGTCCTGCACTGTGGCCTCTTCTAGAGTCTCTGGAAGACACCAGGTGAGGCTAGTCAGGGCCCTTCCTCTTATGTGGTCTGGAGGAGACCCTCCCTGACCCTCCCTGTCCCTCTTTGACCCACCATAAACCTTCCCTGGCCCTCCCTGGAGTACCCTGACCCTCCTTAAGAGACTCTTCCTGCAGTCCCTCCCTCTGAGCCAATCTCAGATGGAAAGCCTCGAGGGAAGTAATTAAAAAATCAAGACAGAAAAAATGCATATCAGCACTCATTCTATTTCCCAGGTAGGGGAACATAGTCCTATGAACAGATATTCCTCTCTACACCACTAATCATTGGGAGATGCTGTCCAGAACAACAACGAGATATCATTTCCCGCCAGAGAGACTGCCACACTACCAAAAGAATTAGAACAAGGTGGCACGGATGCGGGAAGAAAGGAACTCTATTCATTGCTGGTAGGAAGGCCAACTGGGCCTGCCTTCTTGGAAAACAATATGGGGACGTTTTCCAAAGAAATACTAGACATGGAGTTCTTGTGACCCAGCAGTGCCACTTAGGGGAATATACCCAAGGGGCCAAAAACACAGCAAAAATGCTATCTTCACTCCTATGTTCATTGCAGTACCAGTCACAATAGCCAGAATGTGGAAACCACCCAAGTACCCAAGAAGAGATGACTGGACAAACAAACTATGGTACATTTGTAGCACTGTCCTCCTGTTGTTCATCAATTTGCTCAAGTGGACCCAGTAACATCTTCATCATGAGACTTGTGGTTACTGTGTTTGGCATATTGAATACATCACAGGTAGCTTGTCAGGCTTTGCCGTGAGGGCAAGATACTCTCAGTAACTTGCCGGGCTCTCTGAGAGGGGTGGAGGAATCAAACCCAGCTCCGTCGGGCCAGCTGCGGGCAAGGCAAATGCCTTACTGCTGTGCTATCGCTCCAGCCCATGGTACATCTACACGATGGAATACTACATAGACTCTAGGAAAAATAAAGTCATGAAATTTGCTTATACGTGGGTGGACATGGAGATTATCATACCGGGTAAAATGAGTCAGAGAGCAGGGCATAGACATAGAAAGATTGTACTCCTTTTGGGATATAAAAAAGACATAGCAGGGGACTAATACCCAAAGACAGAAGGGAAGTGCCCAAAGTTTAGTCTAGAATCTTGTAGAGAGTGCAGGTGGGGCGGGGTGAGAATTGCAATTAGGATGGAGAAGGGACCACTATGACCATGATAGTTGGAAATGATCGCTCTGGACAAGAACTGAGTGAAGAAAGGAGGTAAAAATGATAACCTTTAAGTACCTGCACTACAAACTTTCAATGCCTAGAAGGAGAGGCAGAGGGAGAGAGAGAGACAGAGAGAGTGAGAGAGAGAGAGAGAAATGAGAGAGAGAGAGAGAGAGAGGGAGGGAGAAACAGAGACAGAGATAGAAGGAGTGAAAGGTTGGGTGTTTGAACACTGTATGACTGAAACTCAATAATGAACAACTTTGCAACTGTATCACAAGGTGATTTTTTAAAAAAACAAAGCAACAAGACCAGAGCTCTTCAAAGTACATATTTATATTTTTATAATTTGAAGATTACATGGACTGGAGTGATAGCACAACGGTAGGGCATTTGCCTTGCATGCAGCCAGCCCGGCCGAGCCGGGTTTGATTCCTCCGCTCCTCTCGGAGAGCCTGGCAAGCTACCGATAGTATTCAATATGCCAAACACAGTAACAAGAAGTCTCACAGTGGAGATGTTACTGGGCCCGCTCGAGCAAATTGATGTATATCGGAAGGACAGTGTTGAAAATTATATATGCATATGTAGTATAGAAAAATAACTCACTCCAGAGTCTCAGGTGAGTGATAATGGAGTGTAGCACAGGCAGATGTGCCCATGAGTAGTACATGCATGTCGGGCCTGGACGCTAACCCATCATGCCACAGAGCAGGGCTGAGTATCTCCAGGACTCTTCTTCCTTTTTCTGCCCCTCAAAATACCAAACTCTCTGCAAATTCAGTTGGTTTGGTTCTTGTTTCTTTTGGCCACTGCTGGCTGTGCCTAGGGCTTACCCTGAGCTCAGGGTTCCCTCCAGGCGGTCTCAGGGGACCAGAACGGGTCACTGAGGATCAAACACAGATGAACCATGTGCAATGCCAGAGCCTTATTCCCTGGGCCTTATCCTCCAGCCCTGCTGCCATTCGTTCGGGACCATGAAGGTAACCAAGCTAATAGAGAGAGTTCAGGGTAGATTCAAATGAGAAATGTTTGCTTACTAAATGCCATTATTACCAGCGCAATCATTACTTTTTTTTATTTTCATAGAGTTGTTCACAATAATTGATTACATCCAATATTTCAACAGCAATCCCACCACCATTACACCTGCCCACCACCATTATTTAGGATTATCCCACCACCACTCAAGACTGCCCCACAGGAAGATGCTAAATCTTATATTTTGTATTGCTTGTTATGGATAGCAGGAGATGTCTGTAAGGGTCTATCTCACAGTGATGCAACAACAAAGTACAAAAAAAAATTGGATGTCTCACAGCCACCGTTGCAACCGTGCACTAATGGAATTCCAAAATTTTAAATAATTGGGGTCCAGAGACAGCTCTGCTGCTTGCAGCTCTCTTCCGAGATTCATTTGTGAGTCTCAGGATCATGGTCACTAATGCACTTAAATAGCGCACAGAGGCAGTTGTGCCAACACAATCTTAATGTAAGAAGGAGCAGGATCTAGGAAAGATCCAGTCACCTCAGGACCATCCTTGGACACTCTCCACCCAATCCTCGGCTGACCCAACCACCTCCACTGAGTTCTTCCAGAGCATCCATCCCCCAAAAGACAAGAGTTTGCATCAAAGAGCACAAACACTCTGAAGTTTATTAGTTTCAGGATTCACTAATAATAACAAATACCTTCGCGCACCAACAATTCAGGCTGACAGAGCTCATCCCTTTTCCATCCCCTCACCCAGGGTAACTCCAACATACCCCCAAACCAGTGAAACAAAGCAGGAACACAGTCACCGAGGAAGCAAGGTTCGGGGATGTGCATCAAATGAGACACAGAACCAGGGAGACAGGGTGGTCCAGGGGCTTCCTCTCCTGTGTTCCAGCTCCTCAGGGAACAGTTGCCAGGAGCAGTTGCCGCTTTAGCTCAGAGATGTCAAACTCATCAGAATTGCTGACGCAGAGTGTCAAGATGACGCTGTAGGGAAGAGGAGGTGAGTGCTCATCATGCAGGGAGGGTCAATTTCCAATGTCAACATCATGGAGCTCCACTGCTTTCACGTCATGGTTCTGGGACTCCACGTCCTCCGTCTTCTTCCCACCAAAGAGCCAGTAGCCCACACCGGCCCCCGCCAGCAAAGCCAGGCCGAGGTAGGCATTGTAGGTCATGGCGATCAGCATCAGCAGGTAGCTCAGGCCCACCTGGAGCACGTGCAGTGTCGTCTGCAGGAGGTGAGTCGCCCTCAGCAGCTGCGGCTGGGACGTCTCCTTGGGGCGGGTTCCATCTGGCCTCGGGAATGGCGAGCACTGGGCGCGGAGTCCCTCGCGGGCTCTTTTGAGTCCCTCGTAGCCCAGGGCCAGCAGAAACACAGCCATGACAGCCACGGCCATGGCCGCAGCTGAGTTGACCAGCAGCCCGGAGAACAGCAGCTCCACGTTTCTGTAGCCGAAGTAGAAGGTCATGGGCATCGTTACAGACATGTGTGCACTGCTGCCGTGGGAGTGGGGCCCCGAGGTGGCCGGAGGCTGGGGTGGAGGGGCCGGGGCGTTGGTGTGGCCCATGGCGCTCATCCCAGAGTGATGGTGACAATGGCCCATTGTCCCAGGAATGGATGTGTTGTAGAAGGTTCTGGAAGGTTGATGCAGTCCTGCTCTGCAGCCTCTTCTCAGAGTCTCTAGCAGAAACAGGATAAATCTCTGAGCCCTACCTCTTATTTATACTGGAAGGGGACCCTCCCAAACCCTCCATGACCTTCCCTGACCCTCCCTGAGCCTCCCCACCCTCCCCGACCCTCCTTAGAGACTCTCCCTGGAGTTTCTCCCTCTGTACCAATCTCTGATGGAAAGCCTTGATAGAATTAAAAAATCCAAGACAGGAATAGCTCATATCCGCACTCATTCTATTTCCCAGGAAGGGAAACATATTCCTATATTATGCTCTTCATCACTAAATATATGCCTCTCGGAGAACCCGGCAAGCTACCAAGAGTATCCCGCCCGCATGGGCAGAGCCTGGCAAGTTTCCCATGGCGTATTTGATATGTCAAAAACAGTAGTGACAACAGGTCTCATTCTCCTGACTCTGAAAGAGCCTCCAATCATTGGGAAAGCACTGAGCACTGTCCTCCCATTGTTCATTGATTTGCTCAAGCGGGTCCAGTAACGTCTCCATTGTGAGATTGGTTACTGTCTTTGGCGTATCAAATACATCACGGGTAGCTTGCCAGGCTTTGCCGTGCAGGCGAGATATTCTCGGTAGCTTGCTTGGCTCTCTGTGAGAGACGGAGGAATCGAACCTGGGCCGCCCAGGTCGGCCATGTGCAAGGCAAACGCCCTACCCGCTGTGCTATCACTCAGCCCATCATTGGAAAAAGAGGAGTAAAAAGAGTCTGCTAAAATCTCAGGGCTGGGAGGAAAAGAGATGTTACTGGTGCCCACTTGAGTAAATCAACAAACAACGGCATGACAGTGATATAGTCATACATCATTAATTCGAAAGATGCAGACCAAAACAAAAATGAGATATCATCTCATACCATAGACACTGCACACACCAAAATGAACCAGCGCTGGCACTTTTGCAAGGGGCTCTCATTCATTGCTGGTACGATGACAACTAGGCTGACTTTGGAAAACAATATGGGTATTCCTCAAAAAAAAAGTAGAAATGGAGTTGCTTGTGACCCGGTAATACCACTTCTGGGAATAAACCCAAAAGCCAAGAACACACAGTAGAAATGCTGTGTTCACTCCTAAGTTCATTGTAGCACCAGTCACAATAGCCAGAATCTGGAAACAACCCAAGTACCCAAGGGTAAATGACTGGATAAAGAAATTGTGGTACATTTACATAGTGGAATACTACATAGTCACTAGGAAAAATAAAGTCATGAAATTTGCTTATACATGGATGGACGTGGAGACAATCATGTTGCAGGAGCTAAGTTAGAAGGAAGGGGAAAGACATGTGCAGAAGATGAAAAAACATAGCATGAAACCCATACCCAAAGACAGCAGGAAAAGGGTCTAGAGGACTGGCCTATTTTTAGAAGCCTACCACTAGTGCGGGTGGAATGGGGTTGAAGAGAACAGTTAGGCTGCAGATGGGATCACGATGATGATCCTAGACAGGAACTGAGTGCTGAAAGGATAGAAAATGATAAACAAAATAACCTTCCCGTATCTGTGCTAAAACCTACAATGCCTCGAAGGAGAGGGAGAGAGAGGGGGGAGGGTTGGGTGTTGGAACATCTTATGACTAAAATCCAGTTATGAACAACTTTGTAACTACGTATCTCAAGGTGTTTTTTTTTTTCCTTTTTGGGTCACACCCAGCGATGCACCAGGATTACTCCAGGCTCTGCACTCAGGAATTACTCCTGGGCAAGCTTGGGGGACCATATGGGAATCCAGGGATCAAACCCGGGTCAGCCATGTGCAAGGCAAATGCCCTACCCGCTGTGCCATCACTCCAGCCCATAAGGTGATTTTTTCCTCTTTACCAATACTTATTTTTTACCACAAAGAACCCCAATAACCCCCCGCCCCGCAACCCTCTCAATGCCTGTGTGGCAGATGAAATCTAGTTAACACCCTATCTACTTTGATTAGATTCATTGTTTCAACAAAAGATGCACCATTATTATTCAGATTTTACACCCCCAAATCAGACATGCTGAAAAGGCATTGTGAAATAATTTGTTTTCTACAGCTGGTCACAAGAATCAAATGACGTCGTGCGGGATTTTGGATTTCTGGTATTTTACTTATTAAGCCTGGACGTATTTCTGCTGAGAGTCAGATAATTATGAGATTGGTTTCTGTGCTCTGGAGCCATGGCCGTGCTGGAAAGCTGCTTGTGGAGGCAACTCGTGACCTCGGTAGGGTGTGAAGGACAAGCCAGGAATGCACCCCTTCTCATGAGGTTTCAGTCGCCCCATCATGACTGGCTCATACCTGGCTTTCCATAAAGCTCCGAAGTGGCTGCCATCTTTCTTTCCAGAGGGAAGAAGGCGGAAGGGAGCAACACCCTTTCCCCTCCGGGCAGGCATGGTGGCGTGGATTAACGCACAGTCCATTCACTTTTCTGCTGCAAGCTGCCGGGCTCTGCATTAAGTCCTTGTGTGTCTGGAGCCATGCACAAGGTGATTTTTTTTTAAAAGGCAACCAAAGCAACAAAACCAGAGGTCTTCAAATTATACAAATAATATTTATCATTTGAATATAATATATATAAATATGTATTAGAGAAAACTGACTCAAGAATCTACTCGAGAACCTCAGGTTTGTGATAAAGGAGTATAGCACAAGCAAATGTGTCCAGGCCTAGTACATGCAAGACCCAAAGGTTATTTTCACTTGAGAGGGACCCAAAACAGTAAAAAGTGTAGTCTTGGTGGTCCCTGAGGCCCACTACTCAAGCGGCCTGGAATGACTAGATGGAACCCTTGGTCTTTAGTTCCCCGGATCCAGGCGTGCATGACTGGGAGAGGCCAAGTCACTCCTACCCCCAAATAACCACCCCCAAAAGAAACCATTGGTAGCATTGAATGGTTTTGTTTGTTTGGGGACCACAGCTGACAGTGCTCAGGGTTTACTCCTTGCCCTGCACTCTGGGTCATTCCTGGTAGGCTCCAGTGTATCCCATGGGTGCCTGAGACGGAACCAGGTCAGCCGCATGCACAGCAAGGGCCCTCCGTGATCTGCGTCTCTCCTGCCCCAGAAGCAGAATTTCAAATGTCTTTACCTATGTGAGACCAGCCAAGGTCCAGTCCACAAACATCCGTGGTTGAAAACATTCATTTCTTCTCCACCTGCACCCCCACTCCCTGCCACATCTCGATGTATCTTTGGGTATTTCTAGAATTTTCTAGAATCCAAATGTGCCATAGGGTATCTGAGAGCCAGCCACGGTCACAGAGTCACCCACTCAGCACCCTGAACATGGCTGACATGCCCTGGTCCCCACAGGGGTTCTATCCAGCACAGTGTCTGGAGCTAATGCAGAAACATCAGCACCAGGAAATACACAGACTGGTCCCTCCCCCAGTGACTCCCAAGATTCAAGCTCTTCTCTTGTGAACTCTGGGTCCTGGGGTTCACTGGGCAACAACCTCCTTCAGCTCCAACCACCCTCACCCTATGGCTGCACCCTTCTGCCTCACTAAACCCCAGGGACCAACAGCATATTCCAATGAGACACAGTGACTCTTCCTGCTTGGAGCTGGAGGAATGGGTGCCAGCTCCCTGAGGCTGCTCCTAGTGGGGCTGAGCAAGTGCTTCCTGCCTCCTGTCACGTGATCCTCACAGGTCTTCTGTCCTGGGGCCTCGGTTCCAGTTCCTGGACTTTGCTTCCTGTGCTCCCAGGCTGTGGAAGCGCTCTTGGGAATACTGGCCCATACCCGATCGCGTAGCACTGTAGCACTGTCCTACCGTTGTTCATTGATTTATTGAGTGGGCCCAGTAACATCTCCATTGTGAGACTTGTTACTGTCTTTGGCATACCTAATACGTCATGGGGAGCTTGCCAGGCTTTGCCCTGAGGGCGAGATACTCTCGGTAGGGCTCTCCTGCTGATGAGAAAGTAGATTAGCTACGGTCATGGTCACGGTCCTCCCGTTGTTCATCGATTTGCTCGAGCGGGCCCAGTAACGTCTCCATCATGAGACTTGTTGTTACTGTGTTTGGCATATCGAATATGTCACGGGTACTGCCAGGCTCTGCCATGCAGGTGAGATACTCTTGGTAGCTATCCGGGCTCTCCGAGAGGGGCAGAGGAATCGAACTCGGTCGGCCATGTTGGCTGCTTGTAAGGCAAACGCCCTACCGCTGTGCTATGGCTCCAGCCCAGATTAGCTACAAAATAAACTATTTAGCATCTGCCTGTGGGGCAGGCTTGAGTGGTGGTGGGAAACTTCGAAATAATGGTGGTGGGATTGGTGTTGAAATATTGAATGTAATCAATTACTGTGAACAACTTTATGAAAATAAATTTTTTTATTATTTTTTAAAAGTATATTTCAGGGGCTGGAGCAATAGCACAGTGGGTAAGGCATTTGCCTTGCACGAGGCCAACCTGGCCAACCCAGGTTCGATTCCTCCGCCCCTCTCGGAGAGCCTGGCAAGCTACCTGTGTAGTATTCAATATGCCAGAACCAGTAACAACAATCACAATCACAAATCATCACAAATCATCCTGTTATTCGTCGATTGCCTCGAGCAGGCCCCAGTAACGTCTCCTTCATCCTAGCCCTGAGATTATATTCAAGGCTCTTTCGGAGAATGAGACCCATCATTGTTACTGGTATTTGGCATATTGGGTATGCCACGGGGAGTTTGCCAGACTCTGCCGTGTGGGCAGGCTACATTCGGTAGCCTGCCAGTTTGTCAAAGTAGTGGCCGCGCGGTTATGGGAGCTGGTTTTTATAGTCTCTGAGTCTTGGCTGCTGATGGGATTACACGGTGCCAGGGGGCCAGTTGGTGGGTGTGACCCCCGCATAATGGAATTTGGAGGATCTGGGTGGAGGATGCTCGACTCCAATCTGAGTATGCTTGGAGATCTC